AGAAAAATGAAAATTATATTCAAATTTAGTCTGAACAAGGTGCCATAATTATTAATTTTCTTACCTCAGCCCCAACCATAGTGGGGCGGAGGTGATCTACACTTTCCCTCTGTAATTGTCCCTTTCTGGGCCCAGCTCTATTTCAAATTAATGGATCCGCCAGTGGATATTTTAAAAATTTCGTATGGAAATAAATGTTAATTGCATTGCTTAAAATCAATTAAAAGGCTATAGGCGCCAGAGCTGGTACGCAACCTAGGCTTGGGCCTACGGCCCAAGACTTTATTCTTCATTTCGCCCCCCCCCCCCCCCCCCCCCCCCCCCCCCCCCCCCCCTTGTTTGCAACTATACTTGCTGTTGGCCTTTGTTCCTGAACTTTTCTTCGAACTTTATTAGATTTCGCTTTATCCTGAACTCTAATTTTATTGGAATTTTCACAGTAATTATTGTTCTACCAATACAGGCGTACGCTCCCGGAGGTCTCACGTGAGTAGTTCATTAGGTTAGTTGAGATTCCCTTTATTATAAGTCCCCAACCTGTAATCCCTATTGGAAAATAAATAATTCCTTAATAAGTGTATAATAGAGAGGCTTCTGTTGTTTTATTTGTGGCTATATATATTAACATCTACCGATTGTTGCAACAATTGACCGTGTTGTCATCCATTTCAAACGCGATCTTCTTAGTCGTAGACAAGAGATACAAGATTGCAATAAGTAAAATATCATATAGCGAAAGAAATTGATTGCTTTCAGAGCCTGTTGAAACGTGCCTCTTATGTATAAATGAAAGAAATAGTCGGAGGCTTGGATGGAACAAAACGTCTTTAATTACGGAATCAAGCTTTCGAGCTTACGCTCTTCACCAGGATCTATACAAAAACATCCATAAAACAGTACAAAATTTTAAAATATAAAAATTACTTATTAAAATATTTTGCATTAAAAATAACCTACGATTAAAAATTCATCAAAATGAATGTACCATGCATAGTGCTTTCCGTTAATTCATTCTCTGATTTTGTTTATCAAAATATACTCTATATATATACATATATATACACACAAATTAGTTCTTTAATACAAATTTATAAAGGCAATTCGTGAAACTTACTGAATTGAAACGTGCATTTATCTTGATTTAGCTTAGGGGTGTTACCCTCTTGGTCTCTGCTCTGGTATTGTGGAATGAAATCGTTCGCTTATTGCTGGTTTTATTCAGTGCCCCTCAAAAATATGCTCTGTCAGACCATTTATAAAAGCAACTAAGAAATTCACCAGTAATGTAACCCGACAATCCTTCCCAATCACAACACTTATTCATGACAAAATGCATTGGTTAATTTATTTAATCACATGCCAAAAATGCGGAAAACAATACGTGGGGAAAACCACTACATCCCTTTACACTAGATTCACAAATCATAAATCAGACATTAAACATCATAATTTCCCATCAAGTAAAAACTTACCAGTTGGCCGTCATTTTAATCAAGCTAATCATTCAATAGAAGATATATCAATTATAGGTATTGAGCGTATCATTAATAAACAAGAATCAATTATCAAGAGAAGAGAATCGTTTTGGATTAAAAAATTACAAATCCTTTACCCGAAAGATATCAATGTTGATGAATAGCATCTCCCCTATACAAAGTTAGTCCATTTAATTATTATTCTGAAACTTCTGTCTTTTCGGTTACATAATTAATTATATGCTAATTAACGGATTTACGAAATTCTATCGCCACGTCAGCAATAAGCGAACGATTTCATTCCACAATACCAGAGCAGAGACCAAGAGGGTAACACCCCTAAGCTAAATCAAGGTAAATGCACGTTTCAATTCAGTAAGTTTCACGAATTGCCTTTATAAATTTCTATTAAATAACTAATTTTTGTGTATATATATATGTATATATATGTATATATATATATATAGGATATATTTTGATAAACCAAATCAGAGAATGAAATAACGGAAAGCACTATGCATAGTACATTCGTTTTGATGAATTTTTAATCGTGTATATTTCAATGCAAAATATTTTAATAAGTAGTTTTTATATTTTAAGATTTTGTACTGTTTTATGGATTTTTTTGTATAGATCCTGATTAAGAGCGTAAGCTCAAAAG